CAACTGAGCCCGAAAGAAGAGCCATTCTTTACGTAGTTCTGCCATTTAACCCTCATTATGTGTCTAAGTCAACGTTGCTGCATGCACTTACACTGTCTTTCTCGATCCTTCGTTAGAACAACCATTTTCATGCCTGTACAACAACGATGACCCAACAGAAGCAAGGTACAAGCAAAATTTTGTCGAAAATGATAACTGTTTTCTCAGTCCAAACATTGGACAGGTTTTCAACAGCATTCTAAGCTAGGGGGATTCTTCAATTTAATTTTCATTCGATAGCACAACCGCTAGTGATGACGGAGACGCGATATCGAAAGAGGTCAAGCTCCTCGTCTCACCTCCTTGTTCCACTTACAGATCAACTTTGCTGGGTGATAACTTCTAACTTCCAGGCGCTAAATAAGAAGGGGTGAAATTTCGCAGCTGTGTCGATGACGGAAATCGTCGGTTGACAGAGCCTGTTCTCTTTACTTAATAGACAATATCATCTGCGTATGTCAGGTCGGCAAGAGATTTAGGCGGATCTCTTAAAATGCACCTACCCTTTAAACTGACACCTTCATCTAAGCCAGGGTCAGCACTGTTTCCGACAAGAAGGTCGAGAACAATTCTGAATAACAAAGATGAAACCAGATCCATCTGGCGAACTTCCTCGTTAATGAGAAACCACTCAGAGCTCTCCTTCGAGTTTTACAACAGATATGATTCCTGCAAACACAGCTTCCAAAACGAAAACGATGTGCCCAGGTATCCCACAGAATTTCAAGATTTTAAACATCGTCAGACTATCAAGAGAATCGAATGCAGCCTTAAAGTCAAGGAAAGTGGTAAACTAAGGCACGATGAACTAGCACTGTTCAATGATCCAACGCAGAGTAAAAATTTGTCTGAGCCTTTCCAGGACAGTCCATGGAGAAATATCTGTCGGTGAGTAATTTTCAGTAACGCATGATGACCTGTGGCTAATACCGAATTGATCAGATAATGCGGCAGCTGTGACTGGCGCAAACGATCTGTTGCATACATTCTTATTATTTTAAAGGAATTTTGTAAAAGAAAAAGATATTTCAACTACAAGCCTGAATGTAGAAAGGATTGGTGCAAAAATGAAACAAATAGGGACGGTGAAACATTTTCATAATGCCATTTACACTGTGCATGGAGGATGACATTTACGGACAAGATGGACGGAAAATCGGGATGATACCTGGGTGACATCAGGAATCAAAGAAAAAGCATTTTTGTCAGACCACTTATAGAGCAAAATCGAGAAAGCCTGATTAATACAAATGTCCAATCTTGCAATTCATATTCTGATCCCTCTGAACAAAAGACTGTATCGGACTGACACTAGAAATGCATGTCGAGATTTCATGGTAGTGTAGTAAAGCCGAAGTCAGCATACCAAAACCGAAGCCAAGAGAAGCAAACTTTTAATAACCTGTATGGCACTGAGTGTATGCAGCAGGTGCGCGTCGTTGTCGATACTGGCTGCAAACCCGCCTGATTCACGCCAGCACTGCCGAACGAAGTCGATCACTTCGGCCTTGTTGATCTTATGCAACTGACCCATGATGTCCATTGCGGTTAGACACCAGTACAAACCGCTCATTCGAAGAAATTCGGACATGACGTACTCCTGAAAAGCAAGCCGTGCCGATGCAACATCGGCACGACCGAAACACATTACACCCCGGACGACATCAGGCGTACACGTGTTGCTACGCATTTACATATTCGTCTTTCTTCTTCTCGTAGGACAAGATGAAGTCAGCGTGCTGCTGGACGAGCAAAACTTTCGGCGCTGACTGTTTCAGAATCACGTCTTTCAAGGCGAACATAAGCGGAATGCCCTACGGAAAACGAGCTTGGTAAACGGCAAATTCATACGGGACCAACCGCGAGCAAACGCGGACCGTACCATACACCAACAATGAACCAAGCAGCGAAGGTATTCGGCAAAACAGTGGGAATGATTCGTTCACGAACCTGTACAATAATTTATAGCTGAGAAAACAAATAACCGACTAAGCACAAGGAAAACAACCGGAGATTACAAAAGCAGTCTTCAACAACAACAAGTAGCAACTCAGGTTTACTGCAGAACAAGAACATACTACAGAGTATGAAGCAGTTTAAGGCCTCTTCTAATTGTGAAACCATCAGCGAAATCTAAAGACAGTCCAACGAAAGATATCGATAACTTTCCCGAAATCACTTTTGCTTATCATCG